GCACCTTGGTGTGAATATCCACTAATCCCTGAAGGTAGTGTGACAGGTAGAAAAACTGGTTAAGAAGGCATATGATATTTTGCCTTTATGAGCTGAGGCATCGAGTTTAAGAACAGGGAAGTGATGCTGGAACTATATGAAAGGTTAGCTGGCCACAGCTGGAGAATTGTATGCAATTCTGGAAACCAAATCATAGGAAGGTTGTGATAGCACAGGAGAGGGAGCAGAGGATGGTGGGAAAGTAGATCACTCCAGCTGGAACTACTCTGCTCCGCCCATTCTGTTTCTTCTTTTTCTTTTTTTTCTGCCTCTCTCCTCCCTTGTCTCCCTCATTTCATCCTCAGAGAGTCAGATCTGGCCTCCAAAGTGGGATCAGCAGAGACACTAGAGGCCAGAGCAGGGGTGTTAGCATCCAGCCTCCCAGTGCAGAGTGTGGTGCTAGCCAGTGGTCAGACCACGTGGAAGCCCCCTGTGCTGGTCTGCTGCAGAGAACACTTGGAGACAGACTGTGAAGTTTGCTTTTTTAAATTTGCTTCTTGTTTTTTCTGACCTAGGGTCATACTGTGAATAGCTGGAATGTAACTTTTTTTCTTCATTTCTCTATTCTGTAATGAAGGATTGTACCTAGGTACCTTTGTACCTAAGATGGCCCTATAAGTGGTGACTTCTAAACTTTTCACTGTACTCTGTACTCATTCGAGTACATGTGACAATAAACCTAACTCAATTCCGTTCATTTCAGGAGATTTCCCAGGATGTTGCCTGGTCTGGAGAGTTTCGGTTATGAAGAGATATTGAATAGGCTGTGGTTGTTTGCCTTGGAGCAGAGGAAATTGAGAGGGGACATGGTTGAGATGGACAAAATTATGAGGGGCATGGATAAGGTAGACAGGAAGAAACTTTTCCCCTTCATGAAGGGAGCAATGGACAGGGTACACAGATTTAAGGTCAGAGGCAGACGTTTACAGGAGGTGTGAGAAAAAACTCTTTCACCCAGAGGGTGGTGGGAATCTGGAACTCACTGCCTGTAAGGGTGGTAGAGCAGAAACCTTCATAACGTTGAAGAAGTATTTCAACATGCACTTGCGCTGCCAATGTATACAAAGCTATGGGCCAAGTGCTGGAAAATGGGATTAGAGTAGTGCGGTGGTTGTTTTTGACTGACACAGATTCGATAGGCCAAAGGGTATTTTTATTATATTGTAGACCTCTGTGACTCTATGCTGATCAATCCAAGAGGAGTGTCAAGATAGGAATTATATGCCAGTAGGAATATGGTCAAAGAAGAAGCTCATTAGGAGGCTTTTGTAGCTGGGGAGAGAGATAAGCCAGACATTAATATAAATGATTTGGATCTGAACATAGGAGGTATGTTTAGTAAGTTTGCAGATGACCCCAGCCAAGAAAGTTACCTTGATCAGCTGGGCAGTGGACCAAGGAGTGACAGATGGAGTTTAGTTTATATAAATGTGAGATGCTGCATTTTGGGAAGGCAAATCAAGGCAGGACTTATACACTTAATTGAAAGGTCCTGGGGAGTGTTGCTAAATAAAGAGACCTTGGGGTGCAGGTTCAAAGTTCCTTGAAAGCAGACTCGCAGGTAGACAGGATAGTGAAGAAGGCACTTAGTATGCTTGCCTTTATTGGTCAGTGCATTGAGAGGTCATGCTGCAGCTGTACAGGACATTGGTTAGGTCACTTTTGGAAAACTACATTCAATTCTGGTCACCCTGCTATAGGAAAGATGTTGTGAATCTTGAAAGAGTTCAGAAAAGATTTACAGGGATGTTGCCAGAGTTGGAGGGTTTGAGCTATAGGGAGAGGCTGAATAGGCTTGGGTTATTTTCTCTGGAGTGTCAGAACTGAGGGGTGATCTTACTGAGGTGTATAAAATCATGAGAGGCATAGATAGGGTGAATAGTCAAGGCTTTTTGCCCCGGGTAGGAGAATCCAAAACTAGAGGGCATAGGGTTTAAGGAGAGGATGGCGTGTGAATAGAACAAGCTGCCAAAGGAAGTGGTGGAGGCTGGTACAATTACAACTTTTAAAATGCATCTGGATGGGTATATGAATAGAAATGGTTTAGAGTGATATGGGCCAAATTCTGGCAAATGGGATTAGATTTATTTAGGGTATCTGGTCAGCATGGATAAGTTGGACAAAGCGTCTGTTTCCATGCTGTACAGCTCTTTGATTCTATGAAATGACAAGATTTGACATTTCAAGCATTGGGGCAATATAGCTGAAGAAGTTGGGCATGCTTGGTGGAGGAAAATAAGCAGGAACTGAGAAGAAGACTTGGTATCAGAGGAGTAGAGGTACGCTGAGAGACATGAGTGGTATTTGTAGATTAGTGTGTGAATGTGGAGGCCAGTTTTCTGAGCAACGGGAAAGCTTTAGAAAGTAGGAAGAAGGGAAATGTCGACTTTGATGTAGGTCAGAGCCCCAGTCAGGGCGATTATGTACAGTTTGCAACAAGGAACAGCAGCAGAAGAAGAACATAAAGCAGTCTGATTTTAAGATTTACATAGCTACAATGGCCTCTTTTACTGCTGACTCATTCAATTCTTCTTTCCAAATGTGGTTAGCACAGAATATTGGAGTCATAGATAGAGTTATAGAGTTGTACAGCATGGAAGCAAGCCCTTCGGTCCAACTCATCCATGCTGACCAAATATCCTAAACATCCTAAATATCCCATCAGATTGGAGCTCACAGTCTCAGGAAGTGATCCAATGCCTCCTGCTCAGTTTATCTCTGCAGTGTACGACATGTATCAGCTGGAAAGACATATTTGACATATTTTTTCACCACGTTCTGGTGTTTAGGGGAGGTATTTTCCCTGATGACCACTCCTATTTGCTTGTGGCATTCACCACTTCTACCAGTATTTTATTTGAGGCTATTTGAGGTCGTTTGCTGCCACCAATCCTGTCTTTGTCTTTGCTTTGCCTTGGACCTATCTAGGGATTACTGATAGACGATACACCACTGTAGATTATCTACTGAAGTGGGGCTGCTCTTAGATGGCAAGGGTTGATGCATGAAAGCAATAAATACAACTCTGTTTGATTTGGCATAATTACGTGGACCTTAGAGAACTGTAAGTGACACCCACTCCCTGCGAAAGCTAGAGTAGAACTCCTTGTTACCATCCTAGACTCTGTGACAGCAGCTGAGCGGGTTGAGCCAATGTAACATGAACAATACCTTTCAGACCGACTGCCTTATAAAACAGGCTCAGCTCACTAAACTCTTTAGATGAAGAGTGTCGCAGCTAAGTGTCTACTGTAGAGATGTCTGCACGATTAGCTGAGTCACTGAGCAAACCTGATGAAATGAATAGTGAAATATCTAATTTCCATATGAGAAAGCAGGGATAACTCAGGGACAGCACAGAATGTAATTGAATCCATGAAGTAGATAAAATGTTGATGAGAACACTGTGATTGTTGCATATATGAACTTTATGGTGCTTTTCAACGTTTCACATAGTAGTCTTGTAGTAGGACCATTGGCAATGTAGATACAAAATTGAGAAAGGGACAGAAAGAGGAGAGTAGTGGGGAGTATTTCAGAGCCAGTAGGAACTGCAGATACTGGAGAATCTGAGATAACAAGGTGTAGAGCTGGATGAACACAGCAGGTCAAGCAGCATCAGAGGAGCAGGAAAGCTGACATT